ATGTGTATTGGCCATAGCTGTTTCCAGTAATCTTAAGGTACGTCGTACAAACTGTTGGCTACTTGACCCCAAGAGAAAGAGAGAGAGGTATTGTGTTTGGCTGTTCTGTCTTAGTGTTTGTCTGTATTTCTGTCAATCTGTGTATTACAAAATGCTGACTATTTTGGTCTTTGTTACTGCAAAGGTCACAAAGCAGTGTGGGTAAGGGGGTGAAGTCAGGCCTGTCTGGTAGCCTTGTTGCAGTCACTTGTATGTACCTATAGTCTATGGTGGTTGTTCTGAAAAGAGTTGCTTTTTGGTGACTATATGACTGATTTTACAGTAGCTGTCAAGATGATTATCATTCAAGGGAGTGGAATATTGTTTTGGCTTGAATGTTTGTGCGCCTGTTTATATATGTTCTATGCCTTGTTTTGGCTAGAAACATGAATTTTTCTATAAAAAATTACTAAAATCAGAGACATCATAGAAAATACATGTCAACTTGGTTGGGTTTTATAGCTGAAAGGATATCCTAATGTCATCCACAGTTATGTTGCTTTGAAGTTATCTCCCGACAAAGCCAGTCAGACTTGATGCTGATAGTGTGCAGCTTCAAATTAAAATCCCCAATAAATTGGGGTGTGGCGCCTTGAAGTAATTAAGCTGAAAATTCATTGACACATGGAATTTTTAAGTCTGTAACTGTATACAGATCAGATTGAGGAAGAGAGTGGTCTAATTTCCTTGGCGGCATTTTGGCCCTGAAGCGGAGGAGTTGGCTATTGTATTTGTAAGGCCTGGGAACAGTCAGCAGACAGAAATACTGTGCCACATTTGTACATGATCATCCCATCAGTGACGGTACACCGGTGGTAATGGTCTTTTGGGATGGAAACTCAAAACCTAATGACTTAATGGAACAGGCAAATTACACACAACGTTTTAGGTCATCTCACTGACAAGGCTAAGAATAGTTCCGTTACATGCAAATACATGTACAATGCAAAACTGTCATAAATTTTACCTGTATTCAGGTTAGAGGTCTTGACCTACAAATGTACTACAATCTCAACCTGGTGAGCCTTATCAACAATATCATTGTACATACCATATACATGTATGTAGTGTGTAGCTTGTATCTCTTGATTATGTACTTCACCTGATAGTAATGAATACTAGAGTGTGATTTTTTAGTTGCAAAAGCATCATCCAATCAAATTGTATTCTTTTGGGACACCACCACAATTACATGTATCCTGAACCTCATCTTAAGTACAGGTAGCAATCCAGGCCTTAGTATATTTGGCCAAAATTTTGATACCATACCAATGTGAATACCTTGAATGAGTTTTTTTCTACCTTGTAAAATTGCTTGTTGTTGTGCAAATAGATTACAATAGCAATAATATTAAAAGAAGGAAGGAGAACAATGATGATTTATTTCTTGTTGTTGTTTTTTTTTACAGATAAAATCTATTTATTTCTTGTCGTTGTTTTTTACAGATAGCAACTTTTCTGTAGAAGACTGACAACATTCTACACTCCGACCTCTGACCTGACCACCATGTCGAACTACGCGCCGAGTGACGAGGGCTCGTTACCCCAGCCTTCCTCCGACTCCTTCTGGGAGGTCGGGAACTACAAGACCACGGTGAAGCGTATGGAGGACGGGTACCGCCTGTGTAACGAACTCATGACGATGGTCAAGGAGCGATGTGAGATTGAGAAATCCTATGCAAAGGCACTCAAGCACTGGGCCAAGAAATGGAACAAGTCTGTTGAAGAAGGTAAAAATCAGTGATTTATATGTCATAAATGTCTAGCTGCTGACTAGCACTTCCATCAGTTATGCCCCTAGAAGCCTGATGGACAACACCTTTAACTAAGTCTAAGTCAGGAGGAGAGTTGTGAATATTCTAATCCTGTTCATTTATGCATATGTGTGCACATGGACAAATTATTGTCAGACTAAAAACAGACTGTTTCCATAGCATTGAAGTCTGTGATGACTTAGTGACCTCCAATTGGATTTATTTTTATGGTTATAAAGAATCCTGAGCTCCTATTGGGACATCTCATTTTTGTAATCAGTCAGGAGGGTAAACCACCCTAACCAGTGACCACTAGGCCGTCCATTCCATCATGATTGTTACCTCCCCCTCCCACAGGTCCAGAGTATGGCACCATGGCTTCAGGGTGGAAGAGCTTCTGTACTGAAGCAGAGAGAGTTCACGACTTGCACATGGAGGTTCGTGACAAGCTCATCTCAGACATTCAGGAGGAGGTGGCCACCTGGCAGAAGGAGAATTACAAGAAGTTGATGATGACAGGCTTCAAGGAGACAAAAGAAGCAGACGATGCATTCAGAAAGGCACAGAAACCATGGGCCAAAATGCTACAAAGGGTAACTTTTGTACTATTTCCCCACACATTACATGACT